AGGCCAGTGCTCTACCACTTGAGCTACAACGCCACTTCCGGTTTTCTAGTGGTTTATTAGAGGTAGGAGTCTCACGGTCTTTCCTGCCCGGGCTGGCTTTGAACCGCGATCCTCAGATCTCAGCCTCCTGAGTAGCTAGGATTACAGGCGTGAGCCTCCAGCGCCCGGCGCCTCCAGCTCTTTAAGTCACATCCTCACCTTTCAAGGAAGACCCCTAGGTGCTTTTAGTCTTGAAATTGACTTATTGGAAAGAGAGACAGGTCACAGGCCCTGGGCTTTAGAATCAGTTATCTTTTAATAGACCACTGAGAAATCACTGGCAGAGGCCTACCTGCTACACAATACAGGTTGGTAGCTGAGGTTCAGAGAGGACCAGGACTTTTCTGAGGTCACACAGCAAAGGGATAAGGACCAAGAGGCCCAATTCCTGGCAAGGGTGGAAGTGCTGGACAGGGACAGCTGGGTGCTGTGAGGAACAATCTACATTCCTCCCTGGAATAGAAAACAGCTGTTTCTATTCCAGATGGTGAGAAGCGTAAGCCCACAGCACTTTTACACACACACACACACACACAGAGCCAGTCTGTGAGCCGATTTTTCTGGGATGCCAAGATTCCTGAGTAAGCACTGGGAATCTTGGCTGAAGCTGTTCTGGGAAATGTCAGGCCTACAGGAAACAGAGGTCTCCCACTCAAGCCATCCCGAAGGTGGGTGGGAATCAGAGAGAGCAGGGTGTGTGAGGGAACAGAGAGGCTCAGTGTGCAAGTGAAGGGGTTTATGTACACAGAGGCTGGAGGGTGTGAGCTGGAGACAGTTGGGTAGTGAGGGCAGGGGATTTATCTGCACGAACAAGGAGGCTGGGTGCCAAGATGTGGGTGTTTGTGCAAAAGAGAGAGGTGTTTCATGTGCATAGGGAGTGTTTAATTGAATTGAATTCAGAGGAGAAAGAACCTGCTAAGCATTAAAATAAGGGAGGTGGGCAAGATGTTTATGCAGAGGGCTGTGATGTGTGTAAGGAGGCGTGGCGCAGGCTTGCCAGAAAGATGTGGTCTCAAAGGCCCGCCGCGTACAAGGCATTCTGAAGTTAGTAGAAGGGCATTAGGGAGCACGACTGCTCCCCGCAATGCCCTTGGCAATCCAGCCTGGCTTTGAAACCCCACCCAAACCAACATCTAGCGTCTCGGCCCTGCCCCTTGCCCCTCCCTTTCTCCCAAGGACGTGCGCTTCGTGCCCGTCAACAAGCTTCCGCAGCGCCATTGGCTAACTGACCGGGGAGGGCGGGGCTACACATGTTCCCGGAAGCATGGGAGGTCCCACGAGTTTTTGGACCCCGCGCCTGAGAGCAGTGGGTGCTTAGCAACAGGGGGAGGTGCCCAGTAACGGGGTGTGTATGTGGGGGGGGGGTTACTGGAAGAATGGTAGGTGCCTAGCAACAAGGGGGGGGGTCTCAAAGAAGTAGAAGTATCTATCCCTAGAGGATATGTGGATGTCTAGCAACGAAGGGGTGGGGGATGGGGGCTCTATTAGCAGGGAAGGAAGCCTTTGATGGATGGTGGGTACTGGAGTATGTGGGGACCCAGTCCTACAGTTCATATCTGAATAATCCTCTTCTCCTTAGGCAATGTGGCCTGAAGTAGGAGGCATACTGCGGGGGACCTGTAAACAGCTGGGCCGGAACGTTGGGCTGCCATGTGCAGCCCTGGGGCCTAGGCCCCACTGGTGGGTAAGAGGCTGGGGAGGGGACCCCTAGCGGAAGAGGTGGAGAGAGGCTTTCATGTTGTAAAAGGACAGGAAGGGTTCCAAAAGGGCCATGCAGCAGACCTCGTGTGGTCTGCTCTTTTGCCAGAGTCCGTGTCTCTTACAGGGACCACCGGGGGGTTCTTGGGCCCAAAAGCTGCATCAGGATGGGCCTGGCAGAGGCCTGAGTGAAGAGGATATTCACAGGGCACGGGAGGCCTGTCCCAAGAAGATGCCTCGGCCCCAGGTATCGTTGCCCCCCCCCTCCCTTCCCTGACCCAGCAACTCCCCATGAAGACTGCTGGAACCCAATCTTGAGGAAGGGGAAGGGTGGTGGCAGGTTGGTTGGATTCTCTGGGCAACGGGCCCACTATCCTGTCCTCAGACCTGTTCGCATTTCCCAGCTGAGTGATCGCTCTCGGGAACGTAAGGTGCCTGCCTCCCGCATCAGCCGCCTGGCCAGCTTTGGGGGTAGGTGACTCTCGGGGAATCTACCTGTGACCTAAATCTGAGAAGGCAGCATTGGAATGAAGCAAGAGAAGGGATGAATCAGAGACAGCAGGGAGAGATGGAAAGAGTGACAAAGGAAAAGCCTGATAAGCCAAAATAAATAGGAATGCACCTATGACAGCCTTTACTGAAAGCTTGAGCTGTCAAACCTCCGCCCCCCACATCGCGTTCTCCCATTAGGATTGATGAGGGTTTCTTTCCAGTATGTACATGAGGAACCAAGGCTAGGAGAGGTGAGGTGACACACATAGGATCATGCAGCAGAATTGTTCAAACCTGCAAGCAATAATTTACAAGGTTGCAGCCAGAATAATGTTTGGTGATACACAGCTGTAATCCCAGCACTTGAAGAGGATAAAGCCAATTTAGATTATAACTAAGACCCTCTCTCAAAAAGAAAAACAAGCCGGGCGCTGGTGGCTCACGCCTGTAATCCTAGCTACTCAGGAGGCTGAGATCTGAGGATCTCGGTTCAAAGCCAGCCCGGGCAGAAGAGACCGTGAGACTCCTATCTCCAATAAACCACCAGAAAACC